TAGATGGGGGAGAGAAAACTTTCAGTTATGCTTGGATTTTGTGGTTCATCTGGAAAGATAGGAATAAAAAGGTTTTCAAGGGATTACAATCTGAACCCAGAGATATTTTAAATCATGCTTTGAGTGAAAAATTAATGTGGGAAGAAGCTCAGTTGGATCCGATCGAAACTAGTTCTACTACGGAAACTTTGGAACGACCGGTTCAATCTATAAGATGTCGGATTGATGGTTCTTGGAAAAATTCAGATCCAACAATGGGTATAGGATGGTGGTGTTTTCAAGGAAATGATCAAACGATACTGCTCGGTGCAAAGTGCCTTCGGAGGTGTCCCTCCCCTCTTCACTCGGAGATGGAAGCTTTAATTTGGGCTATGAAGAATATCCTTTCAAGAGGGATCGATTGTCAGGTGTTTGAATCAGACTGCTCGGAGTTAGTCTCGATGATACACTCACCGGATGAATGGCCTGCTTTCTCCAATCTTCTAGACGAGTTTGGTTTTCTCCGTCTCTCTTTCCCTTTCTTCTCGCTTTCTCTTATTTCTCGTTTATGTAATGTTCAAGCGGACTGCTTAGCCCGTTCTTCTAGACTTTTATTTTCTGAAGTTACTTTTGTAAACTCTACTCCTCCTAATTGGGCAACCAATCAAGGAATTATTTATTAATTAATGTGTGGTTGACAAAAAAAAAAAAAATAATTAACATATAATAACTAAATTAAATAGAAAATTAGAAAAAAAATACAAAGCAAAAATAAATTTTAAAAAAACGAAAAAAATATAAAACGAAAATACAAATATATATATATATATATATATATATTAAAAAGAAAAAAATATCCAAATCCCTATTGAGAATCCCTAAACCAAACAAGAGGACTACTCAGACATGATTATCGAAGAACAAAACATGTTTTAAAGTAGGAATCTTGCAAGAAAACAAGAAGAGAATAGAGTTTTGAAGAATTTTCTCTGGAGGGAGCTCCACAGGGTTTACGTCCAAGAACAAAATAAAAATAAAGCTTAGGTCTAAACAATGACCTTAAGAATATATTTATATTGTCTTAAAAACGTGTAGAGACTTCTTTGAAAAAAGAGAAAAATTTTGGGATGATTCTGCAAATATTCAAAACTTCAAAAACACACGAGATCGAATTGCCGTTAGATATTGGTGTCGATCGACACATACACCAAGATTGGTCTCCACACTGCTCTTTTATCATCATAACATCTCGTTTTTGCTGTAGAATGATCCATAATCTCCAAATTGGTCCCGTGCATGCATAAACCTGAAAAACACTAGAAAAGACTCTAGAAATAACAAAAATACTCTAATAATAATACCTATATCATGTTTAAAAAACCGTAAAAACCATGATATATCAATATTATTAGGGGAGATTTTAATTCATTTGATTAATTATCATGAAATACAACAAGTCATTTATATTAGGGTTTCGTGCAAAACCCTTCAAAGTCGCCAATTTTTGCAACTTTACCTTCAACCTCTAAAAAATGTAGAATAATCATATGAAGTAAAAAATAATACGCATTATAACCCCTTTTCGCTATTCTCAACTTTTTAAAATTTTGATAAATAATATATCAAATTGAAGCCCTCGAAACGAGGAGTTCAACTCTACCCTTAAAATTTGAAAAACCAAATTTATGTGATCGTGAAAACGTTTACAATATATTTATAAGGGCTATATTGCGTAATATTTTTGATTTCATATGATTATTCTGCATTCTTGGGAGGTAGAGGATAAAGTTACAAAAATTGATGATTTTGAGAGTGTTTTTGTACAAAACCTTTTATATTAATACCTTTGTTGCATCATCATCTCTTTTCAAATCTATGTAATACATTTTTAGATTTTTCATTTATGATTAAATCATCTTTCATTCCTTAAAATTGATTTGTATAATTAAAAAAAATTATGAAAAAAGAAAATTATGCAAAAATATATTTTAAAAAATTATCAACTCTTCTAGATCTTTCATATATTTGCAAAGTGAGAAAGGTAAAAATAAATTATTTGCTCCTTTATAGTCGTTTTTTCTATACATTTTTTTTTGGTCATATAATAGATTTTTTACTTCATCTCGAATCTCGATAATGTGCTTATTTAGCTTAGATATCTTTTATTTTTTTGGTAAATTACTTACTCAGATTTCTTATAAATGCATATTAATCTTTTGGTTTCATTGAAGCTTTTTTCGTTTTGGTTTTAATGCAATCGATTTGGTATGGTACGGTGGATTTGGTTTGGTAGACTATCCTCTCACACCAAAATGAATCTTTTTTTTTTATCACTCTCTCTCTCCCTCTGTTTTAAAATGACTCTTTGGGTTTTGGACTCTCTTCGTTTTTCGTATTAGAGTGTTGGTATCATCTAATACTATGCAGTTGGTTCCCGGTATTGCATGATTTTGATTACAAAAGCCTCATACATTTCAAGGTTTAGTGTTTTCTAATCACTCGGATTTGTGTCAGGTGAAATGGATAGTTACTGGAGATTGAAAAACTTGGTTAGTATACTCCGTTGAGTCGACAAGCATCAGTATACTCATTGACAGTAGATTAGTTTCAGACCTGCTTAGTGCTTAGGAGAATATATCTAGAGCTGAAGAAAAACAAGAGGGTTTGCAGAGGCATGGCTGTTGATGGATTTTTTTACTGAGAGAAATTTCAACTCCTTTATTTGAACTATATATACATCCCAAACAGAACAACATCTTCATGTCAGTAATAAAAAGCAATCAAAGAACTTTATTAAAAGCTTTAAAAATCTATACTTTCATATAACAGTTGACTTAGAGTTATCATTGGTGCAAAGAAGGTTTTTGGTCGTTCCATAACGGCTGCAGCATATAGTTTTTGATCGTTCCATAACGTTGGTGACAGCCTGAAGAAAGAAAGATATACATGTATAATGTATTACGCGAAAATTCCTTTTTTCAAGCTCTTCTTAGTAATTCTGAATAAGAGTAGAGTTCAGGTTTAATCACCTGATGGGCGGCGTGATGATACTCTGCTCACCGTAACTTCTAGGATCGAAGAATGATGATCGTCCGACGAAAAACCTAACTGTAATTAGATGAAAGTTTTTAATCTTAATACTTGAAAGAGTTGTTAGTTTGTTACGGACTATATAAAAAAAATCGATGTGAATGTCAGTTTTGTGTAATACTCATCGAACAAACAAAAAGTCCTGAAAGATTTCCCACATTTGTTCATGTGATGAAATTACAGTACACTGTTAAAATTCAAATTGTTTTTCATTTTATCACAGATGAGTTAAATAGTTGAAATGATCAATAATAGTGATCGAGGATTAAAGAGGATAAAGAAAAACAGAAGTTGCAGATACACAGCACCTCTTATGTGGCCCACTGAAGTAAAGTAATATTTCAATCCTCAAAGAAGAGATTAACATTGTACAAAATCTATCAACATTTATATTAGATTACCTTTTTAGTAAATGTCTCCATTACTTCACCACAAACTTCAGTTTCATCAAGGGTGTTTCATAAATCACTTTTTGAAGATTCATCAAGGAACCTCCGAGAGTTGGAATACCCCACATTCTTTTATCTTCCAATTCTTACTCCTGATCTTGAACTCAAAGACAAGCCCGCTGGAAGTCACATCTGCTTCGACTTCAAATACGTACACATGCTCTGCTAAAACTGGATATAAATAATGCTTACTTTTTTTACAACTAACAATGTAGCAATTTTCATCCATCCAGTTTTTATCATCACGAGCCTCATTGTCACCTTTATGAACCAGCAAAATGCAAGCCTTAAACCGCATGGATGTAGGAAGAGGCTTCTCGTTCAGCTTGATTGTCAAGGAACCTCCAGTAGTAGATTGGTGAGTGAAGTATGCAGGCACTTCTCTGCCGGGTAAGACCGCAGATCTACTAGTTGGTGTCTGGATGATGAGGTCTCTGGCTTCTTGATTCAGTTTGAAGCACTTAGAAAATATGAGCCAAATCTTTGGATTGTGAAAGGAGCAATCTACTCTCTCCAGGGACTCACAATCTTGTGCATCTATGTAAGAGATGGAATCTGGAATCTGTGGGAGTGATACTAGCTTTTTGCATCCCTTGAGTATGAGTACTGTTAAACGAGAGAATTTCTTGACCCATGGGGGAACCTCTTGTATTTCTGTATTGGTCATGTGCAGGCCTGTGATGATGTCAAAAGCATGAGGAAAGTTCTTGAGATTTTCAGTGTATGACATATCCACCTCATTGAGACGAGACCATGATTTGATTGATAAAGGAAACCTTTTCAACAGCAAGCAATCAGTGAGATCAAGTTCGCCGAGAGATCCCAATTTGATGTTGGCTGGAAGATCTTCTAGCTTAGAGCATCCTCGTAAGGTCAAAGTTTGCAACTTCTGAAGGTTTCCAATAGAAAAGGGGAGCTTTACCAGACTTGAGCATTGGTCAAGGTTTAAAACCTCAAGGTTGGTGGCATTTCCAATCCAGAAAGGGAGCTCCACTAGACATGATAAACTGCTAAGATCCAATTCTTTTAGATTGATGAGATTCCCAATAGAGGAAGGGAGCTCCACCAGACTTGATAAACTGCTAAGATGCAATTCTTTTAGATTGATGAGATTCCCAATAGAGGAAGGGAGCTCCACCAGACTTGAGCATCCACCGAGATCTAATAACTCGAGATTAGTGGCATTCCCAATAGAGGAAGGGAGCTCCACTAGACATGATAAACTGCTAAGATCCAATTTTTTTAGATTGATGAGATTCCCAATAGAGGAAGGGAGCTCCACTAGACATGATAAACTGCTAAGATCCAATTCTTTTAGATTGATGAGATTCCAAATAGAGGAAGATACAAATAATAAGAAC